GAAAACACATTTGTTAAACCAAATATTTTTTCTTTAGATATTACATGCTGAGTACCAAAGTTTACATTTAGATGGCTTTTATCTCATTTGACTTTACCCAGTTTAAATTAGCAGTTACACCTAAATGACTTAAGATGCTATTAAATCTCTGAATTCAATTAAAATTAAAATTCCATTTATCTAAAACAAGTACTAATTACCCAGTGCTGTTTCATTGAGAATTGGTTATCTGGAAACCTGTTAAAATACATTGGGGTCGTCACCCAAGCACACACTGGAGCCCAGGGCTTATGCTGTAGAAGGGAAACAGGAAGTTGAGTCGTCAACCCCATCCACTGTTGCCCGGACACGGTGTCTGTAGAGACTAAAAGCCTTTGGGAGTTGTGGCTGGTGCCCAGTACTAGGACTTCCAGATGAACGTAGAGAAGAGTAGAACCACAACTTGAAGTAAAAGTGATGGTGAGAATTTATGGTTCTTCACCTTAGCTCGGAATTTGGAAGGCTGGTGTTTGGATGGAGATCATGGAGGTTTTGGTGTTTTGGAAGGAGTTCTGGGGGTGTGTCTTGTCACTGGAAGAAATCCAGGACCCCAGAGCAGCTCAGAGATTCCCAAAGGGAGAGCAAAGTCACTGGGGGAGCCTGGATCCGAGTCATGGCACCAGTGTAAGGCCACCACAAAACACAGCAAACTCCAGAGTAAGTGAAAGAGTTTATGGGGGGAACCCAGCAGACTGGAGGGAAGGGGCGAAGAAGGAAAAAAGTCAAAAGGAGAGCGGAAGAGAGAGACAGAAACAGAGCTCCAGTTATTTCCAATGCAAAAATTATTACATATTTTTACTTCAATCCAGAGATGGATGTCAGCAAGCTACAGTTTTATGTAAGGCTTAAGATAGCAATGTTATCCTTGAGTCATGTGATATGTATAAGTATTTTTACCACACATAATTCCATAAATTCTCAATACTAGAGCCTAGTGTAAAAAATCACAGAGCATTGTGAAAAAGATCCATTTATTGTTTAGTATGCATACTGTATGTATTTGCAATCATGACAGAGTTAGGTATAATTTCACGCAGTCACAGATTTGCAAGTAGTATCTCTTCCCATACAAACTCCTGAGAAGTGCTATTTTAAGTTTATCAACCTCTAATTTAAGAGAACTGCACTGGATTAAATTATTCCATGCTATCTCATTGAGGGGCTGTGCTGTATTCTTCAGTATTTTTTATTTTCTACATTTCTCAGGCTTCTCTCCTCATTCATTCATCTAGCTCTGAAGGGTTATTCAGTTTCTTCTTGCTCAGCAACCATGTGCATAACAAGATATGTTGACAAATCCTTGCTTTTCTGCAAGGGCTTGTTTCATTTCTGTTAGTTCTGATGTAGGAGAATAGATATTGTACACAATCAAGTTTCACACTTTGCAAAGCACCAAACTCATCTTGTTTCTGTTTTGTCCCATCTACAGATAGACTGCAGTAAACAACATCTCCCAAAGCTTCCTGTGCAAAATTGCTGATTCCCACTGTCCCAGCACCATTTATCTGTTGCTCTCCATTGGCTTTATCTGTTGCTTTCTCATTGGATTATCATGTTACTGTAGCTACTGTAGGTGACTAGCTAGTGTTCCCAGTGTCCCAGTACACTAGGTACAAGAGATATCCTGACGACGAAAGGCGTCAGATCCTCCCACACTGAGAAGGAGGTGTTCCGTGGATATGAGGTCCTCGGGATCATTGGCAAGGGCAGCTTTGGCCAGATGAAGCTGGCCCTCCATCTGGAGAGCAGAACCAAGGGGGCTGTGGAGATCACTGCCAGAGGTGACAGGGATTCTTCCAAGTTCCCGCAAGCATGGGTAGAAGCAGAAATTATGCATTCTCTGCATCACCCTAACATTATAAAGCTGTTACAGGTAGACTACACAGCAGATAGAGCCTGTCTTTTCATTGGGTATTTTAGCGGGGTGGGGGTGGACCTTGAAAAGTATGTCGAGGTGTGCAGCCACCTTCATGAAGAAGCATGTTGGTACTTCATTCAGACATTAGCAGCAGTGAAGTACTACCACACGCAACACATTGTTCACAGAGACTTAAAATTGGAAAATCTTCTGGACTGATCTGTTAAGCTAATTGACTTTGGCTTTAGCCAAAAACTAACTGAAGGCCAACAACTAAAGTCGTTGTGGGGGACACTTGAATATTACACCCCAGAAGAATTCCTAGATAAGGAGTTTGATGGGTATAAAGCCGACATGTGGAGCCTGGGCCTGGTCCTGTTCACCATAGCAACAGGTGGCTGCCCTTTGAAGGGGAGAGCTTTGGGCACCTGAAGGAAGCGATCCTGGCTGGCTCGTAACCTAATCCCCTCCTATATAAGTGAGGAACTGGAGAGATGCTGGATTGGTTAATGACTTTTGACCCTGCTGAGAGGCCCACAGTGGCAGATGCTATGGGCCACAAGTGGCTCAGCATAGAGCAGAAAAAGGGCCCAAAGCAAGTGACATCACACTTTTCAGTCTCTGAGTTCTCCCAAGAACCAGGAAATTGATGAAGCTGTGGAGAACCTGGTGTCTCTGGAGGGCCTTAAAGAACTGGACTGCCCCATTCCCCCCCCCACCATGCAATGCTGGGGAAAATACCAGCCAAAGGCTTACAGCAGAGACGTAGAAAATCAAACTGACATGGGGATCCTGAAAGTGAGAAATACCTGCCAGGCCTTGTCTTCCAGCTGGGCTGTGAGGAGGAGGATGGCTGCTTGTCCCCTGCTCTGAGCTGTGGGAAATCCCAGCCGAAGACTTACAGCACACAAGGAGAACACGAAATTGACATGGGGTTCCTAGGTCCTTCCAAAATTGCTGAAGGTCAGCAATACCTGTCCTTGTCTTCCAGCTGGGCCCTGAGGAGGAGGATGGCTGCTTGTCCCTTGTGCTGGGCTGTGGGAAATCCCAGGAGGGCTTCAGTGGAGCAGCAAGAACTGAGCTCACTCAAGTGGAGCTTCTAGGATCTGCTCAGTACGCTGAGGCTCAAAACTACCTGTGGAGCTGGGCTTCCAGCTGATCCATAAAGCAGTGTCCCTAACGCCCAGTCTTCAGGCCAGTGCTGTGTCCCCAGTGCTGCCTGAAGGTCATAAGGCCTGAATGCCTGCCCTGGAGCCCACAGGATGGACAGTTCCCCACCTGGTCTGATGAGGATCCACACTTCCTGGCCAGTCCTGAGGTACAAGAGCCCCGTGACCTCTGTGTCCAGTCTCAACACCAGCAGCAGTGAGGCCTGCAGTTCAGATAGTCCTCAACCTGGCATAAGGAGGAGGACCTACACTCCCAGGCCTCAGGCACAACAGCCCTGTGTCCTCCATATCCACTCTCAGCACCAGCAGCAGTGAGGCTGACAGGACAGATGGTCCAAAACCTGCTGTGAGGAAGAAGACCTACATTCCCTGGCCAGTTCTCAGGTACAACAGCCCTGTGTCCTCAAAGTTGGAAATATTGCGACTTAAAAGGCAGATTTGAAACTGAGGACTGTTGGTGAACAACAATTGTGCGCTGGCACCCAGGATACTGATTGAACCTTCTGCTTGTCGACAGCAGGACACGAAGGCTCAGTGTCTGCAGAAGCAGTGTCCCTATCTCTTACTGGGGCTGTGGGGACAGCACGTCTTCATCTGAGGATGTCAGAAGAGAACCTTGAAAAGCTGACGAAGGACACGTGGATGCAGAGGACCTGAATTTGCCTACTACAAGTCAGAAAATGACTCCTGAATCAAAGGTTTTAGAAAATAAAATTTCCTCAGAACAATTAAAAGCCTCTCATCAGAATTGTGAATATCATTTTCAAGAGACTTCAGAAAGGTATAACTAAGATGCTTATGTAATGAGTTTTCTGCTTGTTCATATTCAGAACTGGCCTTGTGAATAAAGACAGTGGACGATGGCCCTCAAAAAAAAAAAAAAAGGACTCAGTTCTGGCCTAATGCTGACCAGGGTGAGCACTGTGATAGCAGCTGGGGACAAGTTCTCAAACAGGTAAACACCTGTGAGAATCTGAAAATGACCCCATTCCTGGGACAAAATGAGGACAGAAGATTCGTTGCAGGATCCACAGCCTCCCTGGGGCCAGCAAGCAGCTCACTCCTTCTGTTCCCCAGGCCCCTCCATGGTGACTCTGCAACCAAGGAGGGGGGTGCTGGTGAGAGGCCATGGACACTCAGGGACTGGTGGAACCAGGGCAGCCCTTTGGTGTTCTGTGTGCTGAGGAAGCCCATGACCCTGCAGCTATGGGGGCAGCACATGAAGCAGAATCCCAACTCGTAGATCTGCAGCCTCCAGTTCTGTAACTGCTCACACTCAGCATTGACGTGTGCTGCCTGCTGGGCCAGCAAGACCTCCAGGGCTCACAGCTCCTTGAAGCTGAAAGGCAAAAATCCCATCATGACACAACCCCAAAGAACCACAGGGAACTGATCCCCACAGCCCCTCTCCATCAGATCAGAGGGATCAGCCCCACAGGCAGTGCCTGATGCCCAGGTCCCTGAATGGTGAACTGTGCAGAGGGTAGGGACAATGAATAGCCCCACCCCACTTCCCTAGGAAGGTCACTCTTCATCCTCCTTGGCCATCCACCTGTCCTCCCATGACCATCACTGCACCTGTGCAGAAGGCTCCCTGGGAACCACATGCCTGGTGGGTTCACAGATGGGCTCACCCCACACCTGAATTCAGTGCTCACCATATTGCCTGCCCAGACATCCATGTCCTGACACAGGTTCACACTCAGGGCACACAGGCACCCACGCTCCAGGTTCACTCTGAGGAAGCAACGACATGACTATATCCATGGTCATCACTCAGTGGTCACCACTGAAGACTCAGCCAGCATCACCCTCAGCAGCAGCCCAGAGAGGCCAGGGCCACCCACCTGGAAGCAAATGTCCCCAAGTCAGCAGGACGCGCAGAGCTGGATCCACCCAGCTCTGCCAAACATGCCTCCTGTCTAGAAAATGATCCCCAGGTCAGGCAGTTACTGGACACAGTGGTCCTCTAACTGCCACAGAACACAGAAAGAGGGGGTTCTGGGTAATGGAAGCATTGTGGAGTTCTAGCAGCCCTGTCCCAGTGGTGCCCTCCCAGGTCAGGAGGGCCGAGTGTCAGCCTCCTCAACCTCAGAATAAACAAAATCCCCTACAGGGGGCTGCTGTGGTCTTTCCAAGGCTCAGAAAGAGGGAAGAACTGTGGCAAATGTGCCACGACCTAGCTCTGCCACCACCCTCTGTCACCTGCTTGATAAATCCCAACCTTCTTCAGGGCTCTACCTGTAACCTGTCCTCTTCCTCCAATACACCTCTATTTTGTAACAATGTGGTGTTGTTGTTGTTATTATTATTATTTGTTTTATTTGTAAATCAGAGCAACAGAGAAAAAGAGGGAGAGAGGTTTTTCTAACCTCTGGTTTACTCCTCAAAGGGCTGCGACAGCCAGGCATTCTGTATTCTTCCATGGGTGTCAGGGACTCGAGAACCTGGGTCATCCTCTGCTACCTTCCCAGTCACATTAGCTGGGAGCTGAATTGGAAGTGGAGCAGCCAGGATTCAAACCAGCCCTCCAGTATGGGATGCCTGTTTCCCAAGCAGTAGCTTAATCTGCTATGCCATTGCTACCCCTTGTAACAACTTTCAAAGCCTTAGCATTTTGAATTTCAGTTAATGCAAAGAGTTCCCCCCATACACCTCACTCAGCTCCCTGAGTTCAGTCTGTGCCCACCCCTGTAGTAAGCAGGATTCCCATGGCAACAAACTTCTGACAGAGGACAAGTCTCAGCCCTGCTGATCCATTCTGTGTCCTCCCACTCTGCTTCTGTCCTGTTCTCTGTAGTGCTGTCAGCATTGGTCACCAGAGAGTTTTCCCAGGATGACAGAGAAGGGAGCAGATGGCTGAGCATGGCCTTCTTTGTGTCCTGTGTCGGCTCCACCTAGTCTGTCTGGGAGGAACTGGGCCTCTACCCTGGGTGCAGATGAGGGGTTAAGAGACGAAACACTGTGATTTCAGCACAGGTACTTGATACACATGTAGGTAACACTGAAGCTGATACTGACAATTAATGGCCTGGCAAGCGTGGGGGAGGTCAGGAGCACCTGGGAGAGCTGGGTGCTGGGGAGACCACCAGGGAATGCTAGGGATCCCTGTCCCCAGGAGCAGCTTAGCCTCCCCTAATGCCGTGTTCCTCCAGATCTCCTCTGGCCCCTGCAGCAGTGTGGAGAACCTGGTGGGTTTGGTCCAGCTTTGTGGCTTGCTCCTGCTGCATTCCAGCGGCTTCTGCTCTTCCCAATGCAGCGGGGCCTGAACTGCACTCTTTGTGGAGTGAGCATGTGTGAATCTGTGTGTGCGTTTGTGTGTAAGTGTGTATGTCCTAGCTCTGTGGTTTCTGCTCCAACTGGGCCTGGCTGCTCCACACATGAGCATGCAAATCCTTGTCAGTCTCACCAGTGGCATGAGTCTGGCATCAGAGTTGCTTTGGATGCTCCCCAGTTTCCCCACCACACTTCCCTGGGACATTCTAGGTGTACAGATGAAGGTTGGCAGAGTTCTCAGCCCCATGATGAAGCTCAGCCTCAGACGGGTGGTGGGGGGGTGCAGGTAGTGTGTCAGGTGTTAGGTCTACCCAGCACGGCAGGAAGCCACACACATTCAAGAATTCAAGTCCTCCTCAGAACAGCCCTTACAGACAATGCTGAAATGAGATGCCCCAAGCTGGTGGGGGACCAGGGAATGAAAGCTCTGTTCTCACCCAAGGTCACGGGGCAGCTGCCTGACGTCGTCCTGCTGATGTAACCTAGGGTTAAGGCTGTTTAGGAGGAAGTTGGTCGGACTCACCTGAGGAAGGTCACTTCTGTTCTGTGGGACGTCAGCTTATACTTGTGGGGGGTCCAATCTGTCTTTCTCCACTGCTGCCATCTGCCCTGCAGAAGAAATAGAAGTGAGTCAGGGTAATGTTTCACTCCAGCCTTTGGCACCATAACCCCAGGCCACCCTTAACTGCTCTTCAAACCTGGCCCTGTCATTGATAACCCCAGACCCATTTGTGTCCTGGGATCAGGCACAGGGCCCCTCAGGGATGTGAGGTAGCACCTGATTCTCACTAGAAGGCCTGCTCCTTTGACTGACAGTTGTTCAGGCATCACCAAGGATGCAGTTAGATCTGGATCTCTCAGGTCTCCATTCCACACCCTCCTGCATGTCACCTCCTCTTGGCACAGCCTCTTTTTGCTCACCTGCTGTAACCATTAACCTTTCCCTGACACAGGGACCACAGTGTCCAGACACCCTATGGAATGAATGTTGTCCGTGCCACATTCTGTTTAGGATGCACCATCAGCTTCCTCATTCCACAGACACCCACCTGTGTCCATGAGCCTACCCATATGCCCCATTCACTCCCTTCTCTGGCCCATCTTGAGTTCCCAAGCAGCACTTGCTGCCCCTTCTAGAAAGTTCTCTTCAAGAGAGTGTGTGGTGAAGCATCCTGGGAACCCAGGGATATTACAGAGCCATCATATCCACCTGCAGCTACCACTCATTGTGTTTATCTCCGTACTTCTCTAAAGTCACAGGCAAGGGTGATGTCTTTCTGGTTTGCATCTTAGTGCCTGATGCATGGCTGAAGCCTAATAAGTAAAACAGATTGAAACATGTACGATTCACAAACACACTGGTGTCGAGTGGCATTGTAGGCAATAAAGATTCCTAGGTTTAAGTGCAAGCATTTCTCACAGCTCTTGCTCCAAAGCTGTCAGCAGTTGGGTCCAAGTGTGAGAAGAGTTGCTGAACTGTGCCTTCCACACCCAGACCATTGCTCACTGTCATTGTGTTTACTGTTAAATGTTCATGCTACCCAAAGTGATTTACAGATTCAGTATCATCCCTGTTAGTATATCAAGAGCATTTTCCAAAAGGTAGAAAAACACCCTACTTGAGTATGCAGAGCTGAAGTAATCTTGAGTGAAAAGTGGTAGGAACTCTCTGACTTTAAAATATTCTACAAAGCTCTGGTTATAAAAACAGCATGGTATTGTCATAAAAACACATACAACAAAGAACAGGGGTCAACATTGTGTTGCAGTGGGTTAAGCTGCTGCCTGTAAAGCCAGCATCCCGTATGGGTGCCAGTTCAAATCCCAGATGCTCCACTTCTGTTTCAGGTCCCTGCTAATGTGCCTAATCCTTGGGCTTCTGCACCCACCTAGGAGACCCAGATGGAGTCTCGTGGCTTTGGCCTGGCTCAGCCCTGGATGTTGTGGCCATTTGGGGAGTGAACCTGTGGATTAAAGATCCCTCCTCCCTTTTCCTCCCTCTCCCCTTCTCCATCCTTTTAAGTAAATCTTAAAAAAATCTAAAGGAATAGAGAGCCTAGAAATAAACCCACATATTTATAGCCATGTGACCTTTGCCAGGGCGCTTAGAATGTACTTTGGCAAATCAATCGTCTCTTCAGTGAAAATCATTTGGGAAAACTGGGTATCACATGCAGAAGAAACTAGATGCTATCTCTCAACATGTACATAAATAAACTAACATGGATCAAAGATCTAAATAAAAAACCTGAAGCTAATGAACCAGTAAAAACAAACACAGAGGAAATTCTTCACTACATTGGAATGGGCACCCATTATTTTCGTCAGACCCCAAAAGCATAGGAAAGTAAGCAAACATAGTCGAATGGGATTTTATCAAATTAAAAAACTTCTGTATTCCAAAGGAAGCAAAGACTAGGGTAAAGAGACAACCTACAGAGTAGAGGAAATATTTGCAGGGTATACTTTGAGAACGGATTGGTAATGCTATGTAAGAAAGAAATCAATAGCAAAAATAACATGATTCTATTATAATAGAATGCACAGATTAAGCAGAAGTTATTTCAAGGAAGACAGAAGTGACCATCAGGGATATGAAAAAGTGTTCAACATCACATCATCAGGGTGATGGAGATCAAATCCACAGTAAGATATCAATCACGACACTCCAGTTATCTCGGCTGTCATCAAAAAGACAAAAGATAAGGGTTCCATGGTATAGCTCTACACAGGAGATAGAAGTGGTGTTGTGTTTCACAGGAGGGTGACTACAGATAATGATAATGTACTGTGCATTAAAAATATTAGAAGATAGGATTGTGAATATTTTCAGCATGCAAAATGATACCTGTTTGAGGAGACAGATTTGTTTAACCTGATTTGAACCTGTGTAAAAACACTATCTGCATATCTCAAAATATAACATAGTACTCTATAAATATGTATAATTTTTGTCTGTTGGTTAAAATTTTAAAAGTATACAAATAATAAAAAGCCAAAGAAAAAGAGAAAAATTATCCCAAAGGAAGTAAGTTCAAATAACAATGATCATAGCAGACACCATACAATAGAAGAGTTAACAATTTGCAAAGTTACTTGAGATAAATCAACAAAATATTAACACTAGCAGTGGAAAAGCTACTATTTTATTTATTCATCATATATTAGAATTATATAAAAGAAATTAAGAAAAATTCAGTGTATAAAGGTAGGCCTCAGGATATGAAGTGAGCATACAAAATTCAGTGGTATTTCTATTAGAAAGAAAGAAATGAAAATGAAATAAAATAATTTACAAAAGAATTAAAAATAATAAAATACTTGGGAATTTTTTAAAAAGATTTATTTATTTATCTGAAAGGCAGAGTTACAGAGAGGCAGAGGAAGAAGCTCCACTGATCTGAAGCCAGGAGCCAAGAACTTCTTCCAGGTCTCCGGTGCAGGTGCTAGGGCCCAAGGACTTGGGCCATCTTCTACTGCTTTTCCAGCCATAGCAGAGAACTGGATGGGAAGTGGAGCAGTTGGGACTCTAAACAGCACGCAAATGGGATGCTTTACCTGCTATGTCACAGTGTCGGCCCTGGGAAAAAATAAAAGCCATATAATACCCCTGTGCTAAGAACAAAATAGTACCATGAGAATTTAAAGAAGATCCAGTTGAGTTGGAGAGACATATTTTTATGATTTTAAAAAAACTTTTTGTGATATACATTCTCCAAAATTGATTTTAAAATACATAGAAATGCCATCACATCCTTACAACTATTTGTGTAAATTCATGTGAAAATCCATCTGCTACTTGAAAATGTATTTGAAAATGCAGAATGCATGAAATAATCAAGCAGATTTTGAAAAAGAACAAATATTGTGATATTAAACTGCCGGTATCAAAACTTACAATAGAGCTGCACTAGTACAAATCTATGATCAAAAGAAGAGGTGAAGGAGTCAAGAAAGAGACACAAGCATGCAGGGCATGAGATTTCTGGTTATATGCTTAGGGGAACCTAGGCCTGGTGCCTGGGTACCTACTGAGCCCAAGTTTTAATGGGTTTCCATGTCCACAGGCCCAGAGTCTCTGAGAGCAGTGCTTTGTGTCAACCTTAGACCAGCTGGAAGAACCTTCTGGGAAATTCTTAGCTGTGAGGAGACGAAAATGCATTCTGTTATTTATTTGTTTACCAGACTGAGCCACAGTATTTCTTCATTTCTTTGAAAATTTTTTTTTCTTAGAACTAGACAGTTTGGGAATTAAAATGTGGTAACCATGGAAATTAGAGTCCTTGGCATCTCAAAATTATTTTAGGTAGTAGTTCATTTCTATAGTGAGCTTATCAATATAATTTTTAAAGTCTTTAATTCCTGTGACGTGTGGTTGCTGAACTTTTTGTAGCGTTATCTATGGTCATAGTGTTACTGATATTTTCTTAAACAGCAAACTGTTATAAAAACTCCTTTAAACACGGACATTTCTGGTGGATATGATGGTCACATTATGATAAAGAGTTTTCCCAGAGTTGATTCTGATCACAGTTTCTTACTTACTGGTTGCTCCAATGAAATGACATGTCCATGAGTCTTCCTAGATCAACATTCTATGTGGGATCTTCAGTTCATTTTATGAACTTAAGGGAAGATAATTCTTTACTGGTGGTCTGTGAAATAGAAAAGTTTTTCTCAGGAAAGTATAGGAAGTTTGTTACAGATTACATACGATTTTGTCATTAAAAACAATGCGTAATAGAAAACCAACAGGAAATTTTAACCAGGAGTATGTAAGTTGATAGAACTTATGAATTTTAAGCACATTAAATCTGCAATATAGAAAATGGAATACAGACAGTTAAGAGTATAGTATGTCAGATTCTAATAAGAGATACATTAATATAAGACTATTAAATGAATCAAGAGCATTGAAATGATTATTTTCCTGTGTTCCAGAAGAGAGATTGTTGTGTATCAACTGATATGGAGAAGTGGATGGAATTGAAATCAGATTTGGATGTAAACTCAATAAAACTATTAACTAACTGAGCACCTAGGTTTATTCAAATATGATGGATAAGTGTGAGTGTGTGTGTGTGTGTGTGTGTGTGTGGAGAGAGAGAGAGAGAGAGCGAGCGCTGAGAGGGAGAGGAAGAGGTATAGAGAGAGTTAGACACAGGCACCAAGAGCTGAAACAGGTAAGTTTGGTGCTTCCTATTAGACATACTTGAGCATGTCATGTAGGGGAGTGAATTTAGAAGACAAACTGAATATAAGTCATTTCAGCTCAGGGAAAGATAGATTTTATCAGCCTCCTAATGGTCTCTAAAGTTAGGAGACTGAGGGATATCCCCCAGGATGCAAGTGTTGATCGAGGAGGCTTGTCTTGCCCTTTCCTGCAACAGATCCAAGACACAAAAATCAGTTACTTCTTACAGCTTCCAGCGCACGTGTCACTCCTGAGGGTAAGTCTTCCCTGATTTTTGCCCAATCAGTGTTAACGTGTCCTTCTCTAAGTCCCCTGTAGACCACAATACATGTCTTTGTCGCTGCACTCATAATATTGATTGATTCATACAGAGATGTTTCCTTAGCAGTCTTCCCCACACCTCCATGGGCTTCCCAAGGGTGTTCATGCACTACTAGTTCCAGGAATTCTGGTGTGTGCTGTGTGCTAAGGCTCAGCTCAGTGTTGTATTTAGGGGGAAGAGAGGCCTGATCCATCCCTTTGAGCTACTGACTAATCTTGGAGACTCTCTGTAGAGAGACTGGGAGGTGATTACTGTGAGATCAAGAGGAGAATCCTGTAGGACCTTGCCATGTTGATTGACCTGTATCCTTGAGGACATATCCCCATGCCTTTTGCTCACAATGTGCACTGGATTATTTAACAGCACAGTCTGTTTTGGCAGCAATAGCCTTGGCTTGGGGACCTTGGGTGTCCATTAGTGGCAGGCATGGATCAGAGGAACCCAGACCTCCTGACCTCCAGTCTAACGTCCACACAACCAAGATGCCAAAATTGACATAGGTAAGTGAGTTCTTGGCTGAAGGACTCATTTCTAAATTCTCACTCATGGGCTTAGGAATTGAGTAAGCTGAGAAGATCCCTTTCTTGCCTTTCTTCATGGAGATTATGGATGAAGAAGATGTGAGCAGAAATGACATAATTAGAAAGCATGGCACTACAAATCCCAACAGTTGAGGTTAATACAGAGTTCAGGATGTGTTGGGCGCTGTCTGAGGAGTATTTGCATGTAGAAGTACTTTTACTCTCATAAGTTTTGTCAGTGAGTCCCTAAACTCCAGAATAAAGTCGGTAACTCCTCTGACCTAGTGTTCTAAGTGTAAGCTGAGTTCCCCACATCACTGTACTTGTCTGAGTACTGGCTTAAGGACATTTGGATACTTTGCATGGGAAAAGTATAGAGTTGACACCATTAGAAAAATGTGCTGCTGCCCTACCACTCTGGAGACTCGGCTACTGCCTCCTGAACCACAAACCAAGCCCTGCATGGCAACCTGTAGCCACGACCCCTGTGCAAGGCTGCACAGGCTTGCTCTTCGCTTTCTGATTGGTTGGCACCTGTGGGCGGTTATCCAGTCAGAGTTGATGTACTCTGTTGGCTACCGAGTTTATATAAAGGCTGCTCAGGGGCTCTGTTGCCCTTTTGCCTGCTTGGAATCCCATGCCGAGGGTTACTTTCTTCAGGTGGGTGCTGAGTGCTGCTGTGGATCCTCGGAACAAGGAGGTGAACGGCGAAGAACCACAACTGCAGTAAGAGCGGTCTTGCTGGTGGAGGAGGCGTGGCAGTAGGTTCACCAGAGTCCACAGGGTTATCCGTCCTGCCCAGGTAAGTCCTGTGGAAATCTGTGCATGTTCCCTGTGTGGGTCCTGGCCACAGGCCTGAGAACTTGTGCCTTCAGGAGCGGGAGGCAGGGAGAATAAATTTGGTATTAGATTGTATGCTATAAATGGTAGGTTTTAGTGTATATTAGCAATTGTATATTCTATTGTATATGATAACATATAAATTATGTTGGTGGGATCATGTACAGTTGCAGGAGGGATTTAGCCAGGTTGGGGAACTGCCAGGTGGGTAGTCTTCTGTTGAGTGGGGGTATTAAGATGCCCTGACACTGTGTTAATTTCTACCACTTTTCATAGTTTTTTGAGTTATTGATGCCATCCCTCCAACTGAACTCTGATTCTGCTGCTGTGATGTGCAGTGTTTCCCTAATTATGTGAAAAATTCCTGAGGAACATATCCTGCTATAATTGCCTGTTTTCTATTCACTTTACGAACGTGGTAATATGAAGAGAAACATCATCTAAAAGTCTCTATCTTCCTTGCATATTTTTACATTTACAGAGAATATGGGAACTCTGTTTATCATCAGAGGCAATTCTATTAGAGAACTCCTCCATAATTTTAGGAAATAATGGCTGCTGGCTGAGTACTCAGTTTAGGAAACTTTAGGAGGTAATGGTTACTTGCTTGTTGCAGTTGATTTCTCAACAATGTTGCAGTGGATTCATTTCTGAGAGGAGCAGCGTGGTGGGGGCAAGATTTGTGGAGTCACCACACAGACCCCGGGAGTCGGGTGAAAGCAGGCTTGAGGTGAGCCGCCCACAGACTCATTTATTACAGTTGGAACCAGATCTTATATAGCCAAGACCAGCCAATCTGGTCAAGGGGCGGTCTATGCCCCAAGCAATCACAGCCTGTTGCCAGGCAGGCTCCGTTGCCAGTTGGGTTTCAAAGCCTTTCCTGAGTAATTGACACTCCCTTGCCAGTGGCCACCTTGGCATGGCCTTCTCATTCCACCACATTTCCCCCTTTTTGTTTATTTTTGAGCAATGGGAGGCATGATTCTTGGCCATACCATTGTTGACCCTGTTTCCATGTGGTCTCCATACGCAGCTGTGCCTGTCTTAGGTTGTCCCCCAGGGGATCTTACCTGTCATTGACTAACCAGTGCTCAAATCGAGAGACCACAGGATTGCTTGCTCAGATAGGGGTAGGAATAAGGAATAATGGTTATCAGGAATGGCATGACCACACACAGGCTGTGGGCCGTTTGAGTGGCTGACCAGAGCTAGTGGGGTACAAAACAGTAACAGGCATGGCTATGGGCAGTTTCTCAGGATGACAGGGCAGGTGCATCTGCTAGCAAGGCAGAGTCTCGGTCTTGTTCAGCTGGTTCTGGTTGGCTGTTAGTTACAGGCTTGATGTTTCTGTCTGGTACCCAAATGGACTGTTCCGCATTCGCTGGAAAGACACAAGCATATCCTCGACCTTTGGTTAGCAGAGGGTGTGGTCCTTTCCATTCTCCTGTCAGGGGGTCTTTCCACCTAACCATAGGGGCTGGGGTCTGAGATGGAAAGGATCCCCAGTGTTTATAAGCTGGGCTTATCCCTTGGGAATCAAAAGTAAGAAAATTGATAGTGAAAAGGATCTCAGTCAAAGCAAGCTGTGGTCTGAGGGCATATGATTGTTTTTTTCTTTGTAAGAGATCTTTAATCATCCTATGAGTTCTTTCAATGATTGCCTTTCCCTGTGGGTTGTATGAGATACCTGTGACAGACTATGTTCCAAGATTTCAGGAAAGAATTAAATTCCTGTGATGTATATGCTGGCCCGTTATCAGTCTTTATGGTCCGGGGGACACCAAGGACCAGCATGGCTGATTTAACCGCCTTTATCACATTACTAGCCTTTTCTCTGGATTGGGCTGTTGCAAATACAGTCTTTGAGTAAGTATCTACCACCACATGGACAAACTTAAGTTTACCAAAGGAGTTAATGTGGGTGACGTCCACTTGCCATAGCTTATTAGGAGCAAGGCCTCGCGGGTTCACTCCTGCTTGTTGCAGTGGGCCTAACCTAAAGGGGTGCACAATTCTTGCAAGAGAGCACTAGGTGTTTGCATTGGCTCATTGTTAGCTCTGGGAAAAGCAATTTTATGCTGCTTGCTGACATGAAATTTTTGATGCAAAATACGGGCTTGTTCTAAGTGTCCAATGGAAGTGTGTTGCAGGAGATAAGACGATCAACTTTTCTGTTGCCTTGGAAAATAAAGCCAGGTAACCCAGTATGTGATCTTACGTGTGATATATACCATGGGTATTTTCTGTTTTCATTTAGCTATTTAAGTGTTGTGAACATCTGGTCAATTGGCTTATTGGTCGGGTTAAAGACTGCAAAAGGGATCGTCTTTGCTACCTGTACTGAGTATTTGCTGTCCGAAAATATATTTACCAGTCCATCTTGGCTAAGGAGTAGAACCTTGACTATTGCTCTTATTTCTCCTAACTGTACTGATCCCCCATGGGGTTCTACATGGATTTTATCTTTTTCCGTTAAAGATTTGATTACTATTCCAAAGAGTGACTGGATGGCATCCGTAAATGCACATGGTGCCATGGGTATAGGTTGATTAGCAGGGAAAGCATGTTTTGGATAGTCCATTTCTAAGGTTTGTATTGTCTGGAGTAGCCTGTCTGCTGGCAGGTGATTGTCAATCTGTCCTGGAAAATTTATCATTAAAGTTTGAAAGAGCGTGCTATTCTGCATCAATGTCGACAGTTCTAATTGTGATAGTGGTAGGACCACTATGTCTGGCTCTGTGTTAAATATCTTATTGGTATAATATCTTAATTTAAGTCCCATCATAAGGATGGCATCTACTTTGTTTACTGTTTTACGACAATTGCTCCAGGCTATGTGCACCCAAAAAAGTGGTCTGTGTTGTTGCCAAATAACTCCTAAGGGGGCCTTGAGGATAGCTATAGTTATGGCAAATAGAGGCACCTGAGGATCATATCTAAAGGTTTTTAAATTTGATAACTGGGTGTTAATCTTTTCTATAGTGGATTTGGCTGCAGGTGTCAATGTGATTTTTGAAGAAGGGCTGTTTCCCTTAGTCAGTAAATCGTATAGCGGTTTAAGTTCTGCAGGTGTTAGGGGAAGGAAGGGCTTCAGCCAAATGATTTGGCCACATAGTTGCTGAAGTTCATTAAGTGAGTATTTATGCTTGACTTTTAGGTTTGGGCCCATTGGAGATATATGGGAGGAGATTTGATAACCCAAGAATTGAAAGGGAGGAAAATGTTGTACCTTTTCTGTGGCAATAGATAAACCCAAGAATTGTAAATTTCTTACTATCTCACTTAGACAGGCATTCAGAATTGCTGCATTCTTGTGAGCAAGTAAGATATCATCCACATAATGTATGAACAAGCACTGGGTATGTTTGTTGCAGAAAGTTGTAAAATTGTAGACTCTGAATAACTCAAAATAGATTATTTTTTTCTTGTAAGCTAGATTTTGGAATATTGAAATAGTATCAATTATGGTATTTTTAGACCTGAGAGAAAAGGAGGGCAACCTTAGTGGGCTGGTCTCCCTCGTACCATGTACTGGTTCCATTACCACAGATGCTGTGGCTGGAGCTGAGTAGGAATCTGGTAGAAACTGGCAGGTGCCAGTTTGGCCTTTACCTGCCTGCTCATGGTCTGTGTTTGTTGCCTCAAGCCTGTCCTTTTGTGCTTTGCTGACCTGTTCTGTCTGGGTTACAGGGTCCAGCAGATGACACTGAGCAGCATGGCACGCTGGGGTTATCAGAACCCACATCTCAGCTGAGACAGACTTGGTATCCACATACCAAAAGTTGATGTTGTATTGTTATGTTATCCCATATACAAAAGTGGAGGTGATAGGCTGATGGGGGATAAGAGATCATATCACAGTCTGTGTGAGGAGTGTGGAATTAAGGTGGAGCAAGAGACTACAAAGTGATGGAGTGGACCCAGAGGACTATGGCCTCATTCCCTGGAAGCTGGAGATATTTCAGAATATTTCCAAAAGTTTGTGGAATGACATTTGGCATAGTGAGAAAGGCATTTGGCATAGTGAGGAAGACTGCTTGGGATACCAGAGGCAGTAGGTAATGGCTAAAGTAGTTTCATTCACACTACCAGATTGGAGACCAATATTGAATCCCTGCTCCCAGTTTCAGTCTGGCCCCGATCAGCTCTGCTTATTGTGGGCATATGGGGAATGAGCCAGTGGGAGGGGTGTCTCCCTCTTTCCCCCTCTCTCCTTCTTTCTTACACACATGCACACATATTCTCTCTCTGTTCTCTGTCTCTTTGCCTTTCAAACAAATTCAATTTTTAAAACTATATGGGAAAACATTTTGGATATTTGGTGCCAGTCAGAGCTACATCAAAGGAGTAAGTTCCTAGTGTCATATGGTATAATTGGGTGACTAGTTCACAGTAATCTGTTACATGTTTTATGAGAAAATAGGAGAAAGAAGCTCAAGGGCTTCAACCATAGAATAATGTCAAAGAAGAATAAATGCTGATTTGATCACCATACATTATATAAGGATACTGAAATGTTATACTATAGCCCGTAAATGTGTACAACTGTTGTTAATAAAAATTAAGCTAAAAATACCAACATCTTATTTGGTGCAAAGGGTTAAGGGGTTATAAAATGTTTAATGTCATGCTAATATTAAAGTATTTGGAAATATTTTAATTAATATTGACAGTGATAATAAAGAAATAAGTGAATTGATTTTTATTGTCATGCTGAGTGGAAAGACTGGAAGTGAATATTTATTTTTGATTGTTTCATTAACATAAGAAAAATGGTAGAGTGTTTTCACATATATTTGGAACTGAATTGCTTTAAAGCAATATAAAAATGAAATATGGAATGAAAAAAAGTCTTATTTTTTGTTTAAAATTTAGATTTTACTGGTGTTGAGAATCATTACACAGACATTTCTATTTGTCCATAATTTTTTTAAAAAAAGGTCTATTTATTTGAACAGCAGA